CGCGCGGCAACCGGCGCGTGGGCCTTCGAGGACCTGCGGCTCTCGCTCGTCGCCCTAGCCTTCACGGACGACGCCGGCGGCGCCGTCGCGCTCGACGGCGACGCGAACTACGACGACGGGCTCGTCGTCGACCCGTCGGGCGACGCGTGGTGGGCCGCGGCGACGGCCGAGGACGCCGCCGCGCGCCGCGACGACGTGCGCGCGGGCGCGCTCGACGTCCTCGCGCGGCTCCTCGACGACCACGAGGCCAACGGCCTGGCCATGTGCGAGGCGCGCGTCCCGACGGACGGCGCGCGGTCGCCGCTCGCGCCGAAGTTCGTGCTCGAGGTCGCGACGCGGCCGCCCCTCTTCGGGCCGGCGGCCGCGGCCGCGCGCGACGTCGCGCGCGTCATGTGGGCCACGGAGGGCGCGGCCATCGTCGCCGTCATGCACGCCGTCGCGCCGCCGCCGAGCGACGACGGCGACGCGGAGGCGCCCGACGAGTCGGCCGTCGGCGCGCTCGCGGCGGCGCTGCGGTCGCCGGACCGCTCCGCGACGGCGCTGAGCCTGTTCCGGGGCCTCCTGGGCAAGAACGTGTCCGTGCGCGAGCTCGCGCTCCGCGCGCCGTCGGCGACGGGGAGCCCGCTCTTCGAGGACGTCTTCCGCGACCACGTCGCGGCCGACGGCGCGGCCGTCGCCGACGGCCTCGCGCTGCTCTGCGCGCGGCGGCGTCCCAAACCTTCGAGAGAGACTTTGCCTTTGGAAAAACGGTCGCTCCTCCCGCTTCGAGAGAGAGACTTTGAAAAGAAACCGTCGCTCCTTTGAAAGAAACCCGTCGTCGCTCCTTTGAAAGAAACCCGTCGTCGCTCCTTCTCAAGAAACCCGTCGTCGTAGGCGCCTGGCTCGACGGCTGCGGCGCGGCGGCCCTCGCGCTGCTCGGCGACCCGGACGCCGTCGAGACGCTCGCGGGCCTCTGCGGCGCCGCGGCCGACTCCGCGGACGCGAAGCGGACGCGGGGGCTCGCGTGCCTCGCGCTGGGCCTCTGCCTCGACCACCTCGGCGACGAGCCGAAGCAGGGCTGGACCAAGGCGTCGCTCCTCGCGCTGTTGAAGCAGCGCGTCGGCTTCGGCAATTTCGCGCGCGCGGCCCGCGTCTGTACTCGAAAGAAATTTTCGCCGGTGAAGAACACTTCCATTAACTCTCTTTCATACTATCAAGCATGGTGAGCACACATTCATTAAACAGTCGTCCGAGGCTCCTGTTTTCGCGCATTTCGAACAATTCCGCGGACGCGAAACGTCGTCACGTCGAACGGTTCGTAGGCGGTCGCTCGACGGCGTCGCGGACGACGCGCGGGCCGCCGCGCGGCGCCGCCGCGACGCGGGCGCCGCGCGCGACGTCTTCGAGGCGGACCCGGCCTTCGCCGCCTGGGCGACGGCCGCGGCCGGCGCCGCGCGCGGCGTCGTCGTCGGCGGCCTGCTCGGCGGCGGCGGCGCCGCCGCGGCCGACGACGACGCGCCCGCGGTCTCGTCGGCGATCCTCGCGGAGCGCGACGCGGAGATCGCGGCGCTCAAGGCCACGGTCGCCGCGGGCGCCGACGCCGCCGCGGAGCGCGACGTGCTCGCCGACGCGCTCGAGAACCAGGCCTCGGAGCTCAAGCGCGTCGCCGAGGCGCTCGACGCCGTCGAGGGCAGGAACGGCGCCCTGGAGGCCCAGGTCGCGGCCCTGGCCTCGTCGGCGGACCCCGCCGACGACACGACGCTGCGCCTGCGCGTCGCCGAGCTCGAGGCGCGGAACTCGACGCTCGAAGCGCAGGCGAGGGAGGACGCGGACGCTTTGGCGACGCGCGTCGGCGAGGCCTCGGCCCTCCAGCGCCGCGTCGACGAGCTCGCGCCCCTGCTCGCCGCGGAGCAAGAAGCTCGCGCCGCCGACGTCGCGCGGCTCCAGGGCGAGCTCGAGCGCTCAAAAGCGGACCGCGAGACCGAGGCGCGCCGCGTCGCCTCGGAGGCCGAGTCCGTCGAGCGCGACCAGGGCGAGCAGGTCGCCGAGCTCGAGGAGCTGCGCACGTCCCGCCGCCGCCTGACGCGGCGCACGTCCGAGTCTCCCAGA